GGGGAGGGAGGGGCATACCTCATCAATAAGGGTACCTGCATGATCAATGTTTGTATACCTAACCCTGAAGTGTACCCCACATCTTTATAATAATAATTAAAAAAATAAATAAATAAAATTGGGTGGTTGAGGACTTCATTATAAAGGAGACTTCTGAACAGTTTGGGAAAAGAACGGCCATCAGGCTGGGGAATGCTAGAAGCACTGAAGGAACAGGGAGGATGTCAGTGGGGTCGGAGTAAGACTGAGCGTCACACAGGATGCCAACAGGAAAGTGTGGCGAGGTCAGCACAGAGGGTGCGGGTTCTGGTAGACCAGCAGTCTCCAAGCCATGGGGCTGGGGTGTGGGCTGCACTTCAATTCATTCCATGCGACAAGCTGCGCACAGACATTTAAAGGGATCAGGTCTCAGGTCTCACCTCCCCCATGTTCGTGATCCCTTCTCCATTCACCCAGCCCTAATCTTTTTGTGGCAAGATGTCTCTAGGTGGCCACACAAAGGGACAATTTGAAATAACAGCACCGAGACTGAGGAAGGGCGTCAACGTAGTCATGGGTTAACACACACTTTGGCAACTCCAGTGATTGCTGATTCTTTGTTTTCAACCGATGAGGAGGAGTCTTTGTGAGTTGACAGCTGATAGATCATTAAAAATAATGATGACGGATCATGATGTGATTATGGGCATATAATGCCAAGGGAATTTTAAGAATAAGGCCATTTCTAGAACAAAACTCCATCTGTTGCCATCTACTTATTTATGTAAACAAGTTTTCTCAGCACCTAACTGAAACTGAGTAAAAGAGTAGGAATAAAATTGATGCAAAACCCGGTCTTGTTTTAGCAATGCAATATAAATAATGATGACTCACACACACACTAATAATGGAGCAAAACCAAAGCCCCCATTGATCCAGGGGCAGAAACGAAGAAAGCTTAAGCTATGGACCCTTTATTTACATGGATTCCATTCAAAATCCTGCTCCTAATTTGTATTTATAAACATTAATACTCGCTTCAGCCCACGGGTTTGAGACCCGCCCAATCAACTTGCTGAGACCTCATCTCTACAATAAATCAAAAAATTAGCCAGGTGTGGTGGTGCACACCTGTGGTACTGGCTACTTCGAAGACTGAGGTGGAAGAATCACTGGAGCCCAGCAGGTCGAGGCTGCGGTGGCCAGGAGCGTGCCCCTGCACTCCAGCCTGGGAAACAGACTGAGACCCCAACTCAAAAACCAAACAAAAAACACCCCCCCAAAAAAACCTATTAATATTCACAAAATGTATATTTCACCCTACATCCATCTGTCAACAAAAACGTAAAGAAATTTGTCGAATTTATTGTATGTATTTGTTTCAATCAAGTGTATATTGAAATGATAAATGCAACTAAACCCAGAAGAAAACTCTTTTTACATGCAATGCCTATAGTCACAGGAAATAAAAAACATGCAATTTCAACTTACACACATATTTGTTACTAGGATGTGTTTCAGAGCAACCAATAACCGATTTTTAAGCATAACATGAACACAAATTACATTAAAGCAAGGTGTGGGAGTGAAGTGGGAATGTGAGTATGGGAAGGAAAGGGAACCACGTGACATTTTCTACTGTGGGGAAGAGTTTGTTCGTGTATTTGTTCAGAGAATTTGTGGGTAAGGATTGAGTGGCCATGGCAGATTCCACTGAATACATAAGAATGATTCAATTCTCTTTTTATTTTAAATGCCAATATTGACAACTCGCCGAAAATTGCATCCTGTATAATTATTTAAACTTTCGATGAAAAACTTTAGATGTCAACTAAACAGCGTGTGAGGGAGAATGTAGCTTAAGAGTTGTTTAAAGGATTTAAGGGGGTCAAAATGTTGGAAGCCTGTTGCATGCAATTGTATTCTGTTCCCACTCCGCTAGAAGGATGGAAAGCAATTGGAGACTGTGGGCAGAGTCCGACAGCACCTGACTTTCTAAAGACACCATGCTGAGAAAGAGGGCTGCGGAGAGGCACACGAGACAAGCCTGGTGTGGAGACCCCCAAGCCTCTCCGACATCCCCCCTCCCTCTCATCCTATGTCTGGGTTGCTCTTAGCTTTCTGTTTTAAGAGGCAAAGAGAATTCCAGATCAATAGACGCTCAGATCATTTACCAGCAACACCCTGACCAGAAACTTCAAGGTAATTAATCTTTCTTTTTTTTAATGTGTTCTTTCTTTTTTTTCCTCTCTTAATTTTTATTTTGAAATTGTGGGGTGCAATTCAGGCTTAGGTATACAAATGTTCATTGTGCAGGTACCCTTGTTGATGAGGTGTGTCCCTCCTTCCCCAGGCAGATTCCCACTACTGCCAGTCCCACTTCCCGCCTGCCTCCTGGCAGTTTCCCACTACTGCCAATCCTTTTGTTACAGTATTACGATAATTGTTCCAGGTCTGCTTATGAGTGAGAACATATGATACTCAGCTCTTTGTTTCTATGAGAGATCACTCAGTATTATAAGCTCTAATTCCATCCAGGTTGCTGCGAAGTTCATGATTTTGTTCTTCTTTATGACTGCGTAATATTCCATTGTATATATGTACCACATTTAAAAAAATCCAGTCCTCTTTTGATGGACTGCACGGTTGGTTCCATGTTCTTGCTATTGTGAACAAGGCTGCAATAAACATACGTGTGCAGGTATCTTTCTATAAAGTGACCTGAGTTCTTTCGGGTATATTCCCAGAAGGGGGATTATGGGGTCATATGAAAGGTCGATTTTTAGAACTTTTAGGAATTGCCACACTGTTTTCCACAGAGGATGCACTAATTTGCACTCCCACCAACAGTGTAGAAGTGTCCCCTTTTCGTCACATTCTCTCCAGCATCTGTTGGTAATTAATCTTTCAAAGAGTATGCGCAGAGGGTGCGGTCCTCACGATTTCAAACGTTTCGGCTAGTTTCCACACTTGGTGCAACAACAGAGCTTTCAGGTGGAAAGCCAGGGAAAGACCTCACACTGGAGAATGTGTTAGTATGAATGTGTCTTGTCTCCTACCGGGCAGGGGTCAGGGAATTCCAATTCCTTTCCTGATACCAACCATCATGCAGTCTCCGGAACTGCCCCTCTAGTACAGAATCTACGCACCATGCCAGAAGGAAATGGCATTTCATGTTTCCAGATTTGTCTAGACCTTAAAAGCTGAGTGTCCAGTATGAGCAAACCAGTTGCCCTGGCTTTCCCAGCCCACACTCTTTGGGGGAAATTTTGCCCTTCCATCTTGTCTTAATGCACCTGCTGGTATAATTCAAAATGCATTTAAGTACCAGATATAGACTAAAACATAAAACAAATGGGCACTGCTTTGGGGGCTTAGTGCTGGTGGCTTTCATGGACAATATCTGTGCATGAAACATGGAGAAGACACAACATAATAATCCACCCCCATTCACCGATAGGAACAACCTTGGGTGTGTTGCTTTGGGTCTCAGATTAAAGCTTCCTTTTATTTCAGAAGCAGACAGATTCCTAGAGACGTTTATTTTTTTCTCTGAATGCCTTGTCGCCCAAGGCTGCGTCACTCTGACTGGTCAGGCAGACGTTTCTTTTTCTTTTTCTTTTTTTGAGTTGGAGTCTCACTCCGTTGCCCAGACTGGATGGAGGGCAGTGGCTGCTCCTGGCCACTGCAGCCTCGACCTGCTGGGCTCCGGTGATCCTTCCGCCTCAGCCTTCCAAGTAGCTGGAACTACAGGTGTGCGCTACCACACCCAGCTAATTTTTTGATTTATTGTAGAGATGAGGTCTCGCCAAGTTGCCCAGGCGGGTCTCGAACACACGGGCTCAGGCAATCCACTCACCTCGGCCTCCCAAAACCCTGGGCTTACAGGCTGAGCCACCCAGCCCAGCCAGGCAGACGGTCCTGTAGGCAGCGCCCTGCCACGTGGGTGGGGAGACTGAGGCTGTGTTGTCAAGGGGGACTGCTTGCCTCTGGTGCCTGCGTCTCCCTGGTGCCACTCCTTTCCCTCGGCCCTTTATTTCTTCCTCCACAGGGCACAGGACTCCTCAGGCCCCAGTAACGCCTTTCACAAAGGCCTGAAGCTTCTTGAAGAATCAGCTCCCTGGGGTGTGGTGGTTTATGGGGCTCTGGTGTCAAGAATGAAACCTCAGACTCTCTTTGAGGGGCAAGTTTTCATTCTGGCGGTGGCCCTGATGTCATTTCCTGGGCTTTTGGGAGTTTCCCACAAACCGGGAGCTCAGAATCCTTCCATGACTGGGAGCACCAGCCCTCAACCCACCAGGAGAGTCCCCCGTCCTCCCTGAGGGAGCATCAAAAATGTCTTTGAAAGCTGGGGAAGAGGCCGGGCTCGGTGGCTCAGCCTGCAATCATAGCGTTTTAGGGGTCGAGGTGAGTGGATTGCCCAAGCCTGTGGGTTCGAGACCCACTTGGGCAACTTGGCCAGACCTCATCTCTGCAATAAATAAAAAAATTTAGCCAGGCGTGGTAGTGCGCCTGTAGTTCCAGCTACTTGGAAGACTGAGGCGGAAGGATCGCCGGAGCCCAGCAGGTGGAGGCTGCGGTGGCTGGGAGCGGCCACTGCACTCCAGTCTGGGCGACATAGTGAGACTCCCACTCAAAAAAAAGAAAGTTGGGGAAAAAAAGGATCTCAGAGCTGGAAGGCTTCCAAAGACTTCTGAAAGTCGGATTTTTCAAACCCTTTGGTTGACCTGGACCAGCCTCCTCTGAACCTACCGGGAGGAACTGCCATAGAGAGTCCAGAGAGACCCAACACCTTGTCTCCACAGTCTTCCCACAGTTGCGGGTACATGCCTGAATCCTGCCCCAGGATCTTAGCCTCTCTGCTGAAGGTCATACCTAGGTTGTTTGGTGGTAGAGGGAGAGTCCAGGGAGTGCAAGCCCTGGAGGCCAGGCCTGGCTTGTCTCTTCGGAGGTCCAGGCCTACAGACCATCCTTCACAAATGGGAGGAATTACCTCAGACTAGTGGTGAAAGGGTTTAGACTTTTTGCCTCAGCATAACCATTAGAAAGTGCTCAGACATCCTACTGCAGGACAAGCAGCAGCCTATCCCATCCCCCCTCGGCAAATCTCCATCAGATACAAGACCAGGACAGCCCAACCTTTCAATTCATGGTTTAGCATAATCATCTCTAGCAAACTTTTAGGTTCCTTGTCAAGACCGAAGGTCAAAGATCACCCTTTGGCTGGCCAAAGTCATAAAAGTGATAATACAATCACCTTTGGTCAAGGAGTTTGTGAATTGCAAATGTCTAACAGTCTCATGCAGGAACCCCCCCCCCCTTCCAGGGTTAACCAAATCAGCCCTTTGTGACCTATGTGATAAGCAGATAAACCCCAGCATGGTAGCAATCATGTGACTAACCAACCCATCTGCATGCTGTCCATCACCTGACATCATCAGTACCTTCGCTTGCCTGCCCCTTCGTGATGGAAGCAGACTACCACCCAATCAGTTTAACGATCTTCCCCCATCAAGGGGAATGGTTAAAATGACTCAACCACAAGCAGCTGGTGGCCATTTCCTTGCTAGACTCTGGTGTGGCCACGTGCTCTTTGAGCTGTGGCTGTCACCATGCTTCCTGGCTTTGGCCCCTTCCCCACCTTGGGGAGGTGAATCTTCTCTCTCCCTTCTCTTTCTCTAATTTACTTTTAAATAAACTTTTCCTTTTTTTTTTGAGTTGGAGTCTCACTCTGTCGCCCAGACTGGAGTGCAGTGGCCGCTCCCAGCCACCGCAGCCTCAACTGCTGGGCTCCGGCGATCCTTCCGCCTCAGCCTTCCGAGTAGCCGGAATTATAGGCATGTGCCACCACGCCCGGCTGATTTTTTTATTCACTCACCTCAGCCTCCCAAAGGCGCGGGATTACAGGCTGAGCCACCGAGCCTGGCTACTTTTCCTTTCTTTTAACCTCCTTGTGTGTTGCAACATTTTGCAATTACTCGGATCTCTGGGTTACCGGTGCTGCACTCCCTCATTACCCCTCCAGCATGCCACCCTCATCCTATCTGGACTCTAACAAGTGGTATGTGAAAACGCCCAGTGCAGGGATGGGCATGACTTAGAAGTTTACACAACACACCCGAGTGGAAGTCAGGACACTGCAAGCCGGGTCCCCGAGCACACCGGTTTACTGGATCCGATCTCAGTTTTCTCATCTGTACAACGGGAATGTTGGATGGATGTTCTCTAGATTAATGCTTCTAGAGCTTTTTTTTTCAGTTGGAGTCTCACTCTGTTGGGAGTGCAGTGGCACGCTCCCGGCCACCGCAGCCTCGACCTGCTGGGCTCCGGCAATCCTTCTGCCTCAGCCTTCCAAGTAGCTGGAACTACAGGCGCACACTACCACGCCTAGCTGGTTTTTGGTTTATTGTAGAGATGAGGTCTCAATAAGTTGCCCGGGCAGGTCTCGAGCCCAGGGGCTCGGGCAATCCACTCGCCTTGGCCTCCCAAAGTGCTATGTTTACAGGTTGAGCCACCAAGCCCGGCCTGTACTCCACATCTAGAGCTTTATAGTGCAAAGGAATTGCCAGAAGATCTTGTTAAAATGCAGATTATGACAGTAGGTCTGGGATGGGGTCTGAGAATCTGCATTCTCGCAAGTTTCTGGTGGTGCTGATGCTGTTGGTTTGCGGACAACACTTGGAGGGGCAAGAACTGGGACTCCAACCCTCTTTAACCCTCCCCAAGTTGCGATCACTCTGAAAGAAAATTCTAGCTTTTGATGTTGGGGTTGTGGGGGGAGGAAGACAGAGGAGAGAGAGGGAGAGACACAGGTGGGGCTAGGGAGTTTGGCGGGGAGGAACACAGAGATGTTCCCTTTGCATTTATGCTTTGAAATAAGCATGCTTATAATTCTACCACAGGGCTCAGAACATCTCACTGTGTTGCTTTAAGCACGGCGGAAAGAAATAACTCAGTGCTCCATTTGATTTAGGAATATGAGGACCTCCTCCCCTAAGTTCGAAAGCCGTCAACAGAAAATTTTGTAAAAGCAGTAACAAGAACGGCAAGTGGGTTCCTCAGTCAAAGGAACGCTGCTTTGTTGCTGGGTCTTATTTCTTGTTTCTTTGTGAACAGATTTGTTCGACTTAAGAAACCCACGCTGAAGAACAGGAAAATTTCATGTCACCCGGGGGCAGCCACAAAGATAATGGACTGTCATTGCCGTGGGGAGAAACATGATGGTTGGCTTCATCCAAGGAAACGAGAATGAAACAGGCAGCCCAATCAAAAATAAAGAGCTGAGAATGAAAATTCAGATCTAAGAATTTGGTTGCAGAAATAAATTGTCTACAAATACTTGCAGTGAAGCCTATTTGTTGAATAGGCGGATAGTGTCAAGAATTAGAAGCTACATGAAAATAGGAACAGTTGTGTTCATATCTGGCGTGATGCATATACTGTGTTCTTGTTTCCATCCAATATGTGTTTGGCAATGCCGTTATCTGATCAATGAGAAGGTATACCCAGAATGAGTGACCTCCACATGTCACTACCTTTGCTTTGCTCTCCCAGTGGCCTCTTGGCCTTCTGTATCCATCAACGAGCGTTTACTCAGAACCCACTTTGTGGCGATGCTATGCTAGGACCTCAGAATATTCCAAGAGTGCACTTGATTTTCTATAATGAGAGTTCTCCTTCTGACTATGACACGGTACTTTCTTATGGGTATGGCTTCTGGCAGAAATCAAATTTATCTTTTTACTTTCACATGCGATGAGACACACAAGGAAGGTCAGGCTTGATATTTTTGAGACCGTTGGTTAATTATGCCTCCAAAATGCAATGGGAGCTCTTCAGATAAATTTGACCCAGGCGCATCTTATAGACGTAGATACCCAACAAGTTTCCATGATGTCAGTACCGTGCAATGGGTTCTCAGTCATCAGAATACGCAACATGAGGAGCTCGTATCATTCTTGCTCTGGTCAATGGGTTTTAAACAGAGCAGGCTGGCTTTACTTCTTGGAATGGAAGCGAACATCCAGTGTGATCAAGGTGGAAACAGGAAATCTTCTTTCACACATAAGACAAATTGCATTTAGGTCTCAGATAGACACCATGTATTATCTGGAGCTTCCTGGGGAATTTTAACCGTAGCTACCGAGGATTTTTTTTTTAAATTATTATTTTAAAGAAGAAACCATGAAAATTTCCATCCATTTTAAGTAAAGGAAAAGAACAGCTGATGTGATCTCACTCCTTAATGAATTCTGGGAATGCTATCAGAATCCTATGATACTGTCTTGGGATAAAACTTGCACTGTCACTCTGCTAGAGACCACAGCAATTGTGTCGTGAATTCTGCTAGCACCCTGAATCACACCTTGGTAACTGCTCTTAATTTGTGTCTCCTCTGCCCTCCAACTTGCTTCCAGGTTTCCAAACTTCTGAAGTCTTTGCTGAATCAGCAACATAAGACTTAACCTTATCAAGGAGGAAGGGAGGATCTGGACTGCTGGACTGGGACACTGCTTTTGAAAAACGAAAACTCAGGTCATAAATCAAGTCACTCAGGTTCCTGACACCACAATCACCTTATGCTTCTTCCTCGTAAGAACAACTTTAAAATTCAAAATTGAGCTGGGCTCGGTGGCTCAACCTGTAATCCTGCGCTTTGGGAGGCCGAGGTGAGTGGATTGCCTGAGCCCGCCGGTTCGAGACCTACCTGGGCATTGGTGAAACCTCATCTCTACAATAAATCCAAAAATTAGCCGGGCGTGGTAGTGCACGCCTGTAGTTCCAGCTACTTAGAAGGCCGAGGCGGAAGGGTCGCCGGAGCCCAGCAGGTCGAGGCTGCGGTGGCCGGGAGCGGCTACGCACTCCAGTCTAGGTGACAGAGTGAGACTCCAACTCAAAAAAACCCACAAATAAAAATAAAAAATAAAATTCAAAATTTAACTCTGGCGAAACTAAAAGCAAAAAACGTAACATCTAGAGGCCGAGGCATTCCGGTAGAGCGATAGCTACCATTGCTTTAAGTGTTAGTTATTCATGACTCTCAGATGAGAGGGCTGATTTTCATAATGAGAGACCCTGGAAGTTTTGGGCTGAAGACACATGCTGGGAGGAATGAAAGGCAGGGGATAAAGACATCAGAGGGCTAAACAGGTTTTGTCTCTTTCCTTACCTCTCAATCTATAATAGGCTTGAAGACTGGCTAAAATCTGTTTCATGGATTCCTGAGGACAGACTTTAACCCCCGCCGGGAAAAATGCTGATCTTTTTGTTCGATGCTTTGCCAGATTGAATATTCGCCTCATAGTGGACACTCGGTACATTTTTTCAGTAATTTCCGTTGTTTCCATTCTTGGGGCATTGTCTATGTCTTTGGTTTCAGAATGGTCTATGTTAATGGAGATATCTGTAAAAGAAAGATTGACATCCTGGTGAATAGATGCAATTTATGTGCCACAGGTGACCTATATGGACAAATGAGTGAAATAAATGAAAAACTACAATCCTCTGGCTTATGAAGTTGCTACCCTGGTGCCACCACCGAGTGACAAGGCATTTTTAGAAACAAGATGACAGCATTGTGAAGGAGTCAAGCGTGTTTTCAAACAACCAAAGTCTCCAATCATCTTGTCTGCAGGAAACAAGCCAAATATTGCAACCATTTCCCACACATTCCTCTAAAAATCACCCCCCTGAGAGATGCCTCTTTTTTTTTCTTGAGTTGGAGTCTCACTCTGTCGCCCAGACTGGAGTGCATGGGCACGCTCCCGGCCACCGCAGCCTCGACTTGCTGGGCTCCGGCGATCCTTTCGCCTCAGCCTTCCAAGTAGCTGGAACTACAGGCGAGCACTTCCATGCCCGGCTAGTGTTTGATTTATTGTAGAGATGAGGTCTTGCCAAGTTGCCCAGGTGGGTCTCGAACCCGCGGGCGCAGGCAATCCACTCACCTCGGCCTCCCAAAGTGCGGGATTACAGGCTGAGCCACTGAGCCCGGCTGAGATGTCTCTTTTGATGGCCCATATAATTCAGGCAGGGGACGATATGTCCTCGTGGTGCCCAGAGGTGCCCTTTTGATGAGGCAGTGGAATGCTTCCAGAAACCTAGGGGGGAAAGCAACAACATAACTTTCCGTCTATTAGCGGCAGGCCTTGGATTTCTTTATGAGCAGAGTTCAGACGGCGGCGATCTGGTTGAAAGCGAGTTAAGGACCAGGCCGTGTCTTAGGGCTGCATTCGCAGAGCAAGCTTGCTGTCTCGTGAGAGGTAGCCAGAGGAGGCCTGGAGGGGAGGATGGCGGAGACAGAGAACGTAATTCCCTCGGCCGTTTCGTCCTGCCGCCAGGCTGGTCTACCAGGGTTGGGTCTAGACTCTGTTTTCAACTCTGAGCTGCTCATCGTAATAACTGACGTTTGGTGAACGCTTTTTAAAAAAATCTTGAATTTTTATAGGTATGATACCATTCTCACAAAGGTTTTACTCTATAGCTGAAACAGATATTTTTTTTCTCAGTTTGCCAGGAAGTAGGTTTGAGGCTTAGAGGGTCAGAACGGTTAACGGTGTAGTCAGATCTCAATTCCTCCTCTTCTACTCCATCGCTTTCTTTTTATCCACCCCAATATTTAAGAAAAAAACATATTGATGAACAGTTGGGACCATTTGCTGCGACCCCCTGAGACTCTAAAGGGGTTTTATGGGGACTTAGAGTCTCATTTGAACCAGGGAAGGCGGACAAACTGGCATCTTCTGAAATGCGGTACAGACCAGGGAAATCCAGCAGAGATCCATGCAGGGTTGCAAGAGAGTCGTTCAAAGCTTGCTGCAAAGTAGGAAAGTTCCTTGACATGACAGGGTTGGCTGGAGAGAGTCTCGGTGGGAACACCGGTCATTTTGCAGAGTTTCAGAGTGCTCTGTTGGTCTTGGGCAGTGTAAAAATTCTTTGGAAAGAGTTTCCAGGAAGGGAGTTCAGAGATTAATTGGCTCACCCAATGACACGCTAGACCCACACACCATAATCTGTGGGAGAACACAGGCACCATTGGTTTCGGAAGATTCTCAGGTAATACCAATACGGGGTCTGATAGTCAAGCTCGCAGACTCATCCTAGAAAAAGTTCTGCATACTTCATTGTTGAATGTCGCTGTGGTCGCCTTCTAAGTATTCCCCTTGGGAAACTGTGTACCAATGCCAGCACCCAGTCTGCCCCTTCCAAAGTGATTTTGGAACTCTTTTTCTGGAATGGCCATTAGAGCTATTGTCACGAGATTGTCGGAGTTTAAATTAGAACAATGAACAAACAATTATCTTTCTAAATTTGACAAGAGTGGAAGTGAAATCAGGGACATACTAGTCCAAGTTTATGAAGATAATGCTATGAAGAAAATGGCAGCGTACAAATGGATTAAACATTTTTCTGAGGGGAGAGAAAGCATCACTGATGAAGAGTGGCCAGTTGTGAGCAGAACTGGTGAAAACATTGCAAAAATTTGTTGAATTGTGTGTCGAAATCATTGGCTAACTGTGAGAATTAGCAGACCACATAAAGATCAATAGAGAAACAGTTACGAATACCCTAATGGAAAATCTTGGCATGAGAAAAGTGTGTGCAAAAAATGGTTCTGAAGGAGCTCTTGCATCACGACAATGCACCAGATCACACAGCACTGTCTGTGAGAATGTTTTTAGCCAGTACAAAAATAACTGTATGGGAACATCCTTCTGCTTATCTAATCTTGCCCCCAATGACTTTTTCCTTTACCCAAAGATGAAGGAAATATTTAAAGGAAGACATTGATAATATGCAGGATATCAAGGATAATACGATGCAGCTCTGATGGCCGTTCCAGAAAGAGGTTCAACGTTGTTTTGATGGGTGGACTAGACACTGATGATGGTGCATAGCTTCCCAAGGGAAGCCCTTTGAAGGTGACCCAAGTGATATTCAGCAATGAGGTAGGTAGCACTTTTTCTAGGATGAGTTCACAAATCTAACTGTCAGACCTCCTATACCCAGAGGCTTGGGAACCACCTTTAAAAAATCTGCAAGCACACTTCCTGGTAAGGAATCAAGAGAATCTGTCTTGAGTGGCTTACACAATGTGAAAGCTGCCACCTCTGGAGGAGAGACAGGGCTGGAGTGTCTGCTGGAAATGGAGCTTGGCTCTGTCCCCTCCCCTAGGACCTTTTTGATGGGTGGGCTTCCACTGACTTCCCCAGAGGTGGCCAGCTGCATATGGAGCACCATGCTGACTCATTCTTATGGAAAATAGCCTTTCCTGTAGGTCTGGTTGACTTGGGCATGTGCCCTGACCAAGACTGGCTGCCCGGGATATGCCAGTGCTGTTGACATGGACTGAATAGTCACAGGGGAGACACTGGGATGACCTGATAGCAGGGAGGTCAGTTGTTCCTGAGTCAAACAAGCTGCATGGCAAAGCAGAGGGTGCCCACTCGACTCTGGACACAGTGCAGGAGGGGCTGGGAGCTGGGCACACAGCTGGCAACAATGCAGGCCCACTGTAGTTAGCAAGACATTCGTTTTTGTTTAGGAACTTCAATTTTAGAGACGCTTTCAAACACAGGAGGACAAAGCAATCTCAGAAGAAAATCCTAAAAAAGTCACCTTTCCCAGAAGAAAAGAATATTAAAGGCCGGGTGCAGTGGCTCAGCCTACAATCCCAGTGCTTTGGGAGGCTGAGGCAAGAGGATCCCCTGAGCCCAGGGTTTGAGTCCAGCTTGGGCAATTTGGCGAGACCTTGACTCTGCAATAAATCACACACACACACACACACATACACACACACACACACACACAAAACTAGCTGGGTGTGGTGGCACACACCTGTAGTTCCAGTTGTTTGGAAGGTTGAGGTGGAAGGGTCGCTGGAGCCCAGCAGTTCAAGGCTGTGGTGGCCGTGAGCCTGCCACTGCACTCCAGCCTGCGTGACAGAGTGAGACTCCAGCTCAAAAAAAAAAAGAATATCAGGAAAATTTAGTTAAATAAATTGTGAACAAATTTAGGAAAAAAATGCAATTTAAATTGTAGGTTAAACATCAGGAAAACAGCCTTTCGACCAAGAGTTTTGGGAAATAGTCATACTGAATAAAGAAAATGAAAATTTTCTTTGACTATTCAGAATTTCTAAATACAATTGAGAAACAAGTATAATATGCACGGGATCTTGCTTCTCAATTTAACTTAAATATGTTCATTACTGATGAAAGAAAGAAAAAGGACGCATAATACAAATCATATAACATCACTCAACGTTAATTAGTCAAGTGGTTAATAGGACCGATGGGACACAGGCCCAGCTCTGTCACCTACTGCTTGGATATACTTGACCTCCAGGTACATTCTGAGTGTCCTTATCTATAAAATGGGGAATCGTCTTTATCTCTCCCTTGCAGGGTTTCTGTGACATTAGATGAGTAATGACCCGGGCAGCACTTCGGGCAGGGTGGAGCCCGTGTAAGTGCAATAAGAACTCGTTTTTCAGCAGATCTAGGTATGCTTTTGCCGGCATGGCATGCTGTTCCAATCCTTAGAAAGGCCCTGTCCATGCCCAGGACTCTCCCCATGCTCCCCTGGGTCTCACACGTCTGCTCCTTCGCCCAGGGGGCCCTTCTCTTTCTTGTGTTTCCGCTTTTCTTTTAAGGGCAAGCTGAAATGCTACCCTCTTACTGTGCTTCCTCGATTTCACATTCAGAATTCACTCATGGACCCCTCCCATCTCTACGGCACTCGTGGACTCGCTGGTATTCACCCAGGGCCTGCAGTGCTTCAGGACTGCAGGCCAGGATGGTACCTAGCTGTCAACTGCATGAACGAATGCCATGGCACTTGTGGGAGGGTGCTCGCCTTGTCCTGCCTTGAGTAATCATTTGTTATGCGTATAGGCATTTCTCCCTTTAGACTGCAGACACTTTCAGGATCTGTATTGTCATTCCACCCCCCACCCTCCCCAGTTCACCCTGGTGTTTGCCTAGCACACTGTTTTGTATGTGACTGATAGGCAGGACATACTAATTAAGTGAATTAATGAAAAATGTCTGTGGAAATATTAATGGGTCTTTTGCAATCTATATTAGAATTGGATTTGCTTTTAAAAGCATTAGACCCGAAAAATTGCTTCCTATGTCCTGCCCACTTCCATTATTGTAACTTCTCTTTTAAATTTTTGCCTCCTTTTAGGTGTCTGATATCAGAGGCCAGGACACAGTCACCTTATTAAAGATAATATCCTGGCTGGGCTCAGTGGCTCAGCTTGTCATCCCAGAACTTTGGGAGGATGAGGTGAGTGGATTGCCTGAGCCTGCGGATTCGAGATCCATCTGGGAAACTTGGTGAGACCTCGTCTCTACAATAAATAAAAAATTAGCTGGGCGTGGTAGCGCGCCCCTGTAGTTCCAGCTGCTTGGAAGGCTGAGGCAGAAGGATCACCTGAACCCAGCAGGTTGAAGCTGCGGTGGCTGGGAGCGTGCCACTGCACTCCAGTCTGGGCCACAGAGTGAGACTCCAACTCAAAAAAAAAAAAAAGACAGTATCCTAAGTGAGAAGACACAAAGTCTTTTGTGAAAGAGCATTGAGAGAACAAATACACTTTATGTATAAAGTGTATTTTTGTAAAATCTGCATGCCAAGACACTTTCAATGTATCCATAATTAAACAAACAACCGACAGCACTGATGAAAAGCATGGGTACCACTGAGGGTGGGTATCCGTATTGCTTCGCCCTTTAGGACGGCAGCATCCTTCCCCTCCGTTATTGTTCTCGACAGGAAACACCATGACTTGGTTAAATCCACCTCTCAGCCTATTCCTTTGCAGCTGAGCATGGTTGCAGAGAAAAGGGCACTAGGACTTATTTTACACTGAAGGTCCAAGAGTAAAATCCCACCACATTTCCCGGGTCCAGTCTCCCACCCTCCTGGAAAAGTCCATACTTTTCTCAGGTTTCCTGGACTTTCTTGAGCGTTCTCACTCTCAGCTTCCCATTTCACTGATAACAGAGGAACCCCAAGAGGCGTTCACACCCTCCCAGCATCACCCCTGCTCAGGGCTGCATCCGCCATGACATGCTCTGCGTTCCCTGCCATGACTGCGGCTGACTGATCTGTGTTCCCCGCCTAAGATCAGCTTCCTACAGTGTGGTGATTCCTGAAAGAACTAGCAGTTGACCTTTCCTATGACCCATCAATCCCCCTATTGGGAATATATCCAGAGGAACTCAAATCATTCTTCCAAAAAATACCTGCATATGCATGTTTGTTGCAGCTCTATTCACAATAGCAAAAGCATGGAACCAACCATGCTGCCCATCGAAGCTGGACTGGATAAAGAAAATGTGGTACATATACATGATGGAATATTATGCAGCCATAAAGAAGGACAAACTTATGGACTTTGCAGCAACTTGGGTGGATTTGGAGTTGATCATACTCACTGATTTATCACAGAAACAAAGAACAGAGTGCCATATGTTCTCACTCATGAGTGGACCTTGAACTATTATCATAATACTATAAGAAAGGGATTGGCAGTAGTGGGAAACACCCACGGGAGGCAGGGTGGGAACGGCAGTTGAGGAAAACTACCAGGGGAGGGAGGGGCACACCTCATCAACAAGGGTACCTGCATGATCAATGTTTGTATACCTAACCCTGAAATGTATCCCACATCTTTATAATAAAAATTGAAAAAAAAAAAAGACCAGCTTCCTCCCAAGTGCACCAGGCTCTGTCCTTTTCACCTCTCAAGGATATTCTTCCAGGAACTTTCCCTTCACTCTCCTCACCATTATTTTTCCCTTTTCTACTGGCTTATTCCTAGAAGCATGCACACATGTTATTACTTGTCCTTTAAAAAAAAAAACCACCCTCTCCTGATACCACATCCCCTTCAGCCAACTGACTCATTTTTCTATTTACACTTACAGCAAAACTCTAAAAAAAGATCTCTCTTCTCCTTCTTTTCAAGAGCAGAGCAAGCTCTTGCTGAGTGAGGACTCCCCAGATAGCACACACGAGGCTACCAACACTTTCATTCTCTCTCTTTCTTTCCCTTCCATATTCTCTTTCTCTCTCTCTCTTTTTTTTTTGGCTTTTTAAAAGTTTTAATTAATGAATTTTTTTCTCTTTTGATTTTTATTTTAAAATTGTGGGGTACAATTCAGGACTAGGTATACAAAAATTCACCATGCAAGTCCCCTTATTGATGAGGTGTGCCCCCTCCCCTTCCCCAGGTAGATATTGACTACTGTCAATCCCAACTCCCCCCTCCACATATTCTCTTTTATTTCAAGATTTGGGATGTGCTCGGGAGCCTGGTGTATTTCACTTGCAAATGTGGCACTTCACCAGAAGGGATCGCTATGAAGCACCTAATCTACTGAAATTGATGGTAAAAAACTAACTCCAGTGATCGCTTCTGTGAGTTTGGACATGGACATTTGTTGATGGATGTGGTGAGAGGGTGGTGATTTTGTAGGAAAATAGACCATCTGAGGGTGGCTGATGGGTCTCCCTAGAGCTGGGAGGTACCTGGCTGATGGAAGGTGTTTAAGTGGCCAGGAGGGAGACAGCATGTCCGTAGGCAGAAGCTTCTGGAAGGTGAAGGAAAATGGTCAGGTCTGAAGGCTTCAGTTGAGGAGGGTGTTTTTTTAAATTTTAATTTCATTTTTTAAGATTTAATTTAATTTAACATTTTCCTCTTTTAATTTTTATTTAAAATTGTGGGGTACGATTCAGGGCTAGGTGTACAAATATTCACCGTGCAGGTACCCTTATCGATGAGGTGCACCTCCCCATTTCCCCAGGCAGACAGCGACAACTGTCAATCCCACCTCCCCACCCCCTGCCCGTAGTTTCCTGCCACTTTCAATCCCTTTCCTACAGTAATATGGTAGTTGTTCAAGGTCCACTTATGAGAACATGTGATACTCAGCTCTTTGTTTCTGTGAGAGATCACTCAGTATTATAAACTCTAATTCCATCCAGGTTGCTGCAAAGTTCATGATTTTGTTCTTCTATATGACTGCGTAGTATTCCATTGTGTATATGGGTCACATTTTTTTTTTATCCAGTCCTCTTTTGATGGGCAGCACAGTTGGTTCCATGTTCTTGCCATTGTGAACAATGCTATGATAAACATATGTGTGCAGGTATCTTTTTAATAGAATGACCTGGGTTCTTCTGGTTATATTCCCAGCAGGGGGATTGCAGGGTCATATGAAAGGGCGATT